TTGAAGTCAATAAGATATACGAAAATCATTGTTATAAGTTTTGGAAAATTGAGTTTGTTTTCATTATTTTAATGTGAAATGGGGTGAATTTGGGGAGATAAATGCTATAAGGCAAGAGTACACGGCGGTCTTTGAGAAGGTAGAAACCTTGATTCTTTCATTTTCGACTTCTGATATGGTGAACGAGGGGTTTTCAGCCGTGTTTCTATTGCTATCAAAACAACTGAATCGCCTTTCCATCAGTAAACGGGGTAATTTCAGATATAATAAAAAACTCGCTGAAGAACACCAAGCTTATCCATCTCATTAAAAAACACTATAAACTATGATTTGTCTTCTTATTTGGTCTGTAATATATTCGTTCCAGACTTCAATTTTTTTTGCAGTGCCGGGGGGCGATGAAGTTGTATAAACTACTGTAGGGGAGCGATGGTACAAAAAGTTTGGGAACCAATGATCTAGATAGTAAGGCTGAATAACGCAAATATGCACACCAATGTGTCGTCTCCATTTATTTTCGTACCGTTAATCTGAAATGTTAATCTCATGTTATTTATTGCGCGGTATTAGAACTTACAAATGTAAATAGGATATTCGAACCTTGGGCGTCGTGCTTCATAACCAGTTTTGTTCCACGCGGATACGAGAGAAATAGCGACGCACGCGTTCTTACAATTGATGACGTCGGCCATTAATCGACAAGCCTGTTGTCGCCCAGAATCTCCGCTAATAGTGAAGGCAGCGTACTACACAACTGACGCAATGACAATTTAATGAACTCCTGAGGAAAATATTAAATTTCGGGTTTGCTTTGGACTAGGGCCTGCAAATCCAGTTAATTAGTCGGGCTTGGGTCGGGTTTATGACGGCCACAGGCCTGGGTCAGGCCGGGCTAGAATTTTTGGGCCCGATCTTACCTCCAATAGAAAGGACCCTCAAACCTACCTGTGGTGGGGGAGGTCATTTTATGTGAACTCTATGCAAATAATCCTAGTATTTTGACTCATTTTTTTCAAATTAAAACTATTTTTCTGCATAAAATTTAAGGCGTATTTTTCTTTGCTGTTTTTCACAAGTTTTCTTTGCGACTTTTCGAGATACTTTGTATTAATAAATAAAGATTTTACCATTGTGAGATTATAATTATCCATAATTATGACTTCTGAAACATTCAAATGCGCCTACTTCTAGTGTTTGCATACCAGCTGTATATATTTCTCCAAACTTTGACAACCTTTGGAAAGTAGAAATATAGGTCTAGATTTTAAACTAGATGGTCTGATTCGTTTAAAATTAAAGATTGTTGCAATAACGTTATAAATCCCATATTTCCAGCAATTCACTAGCAATCTGCGAACAATTAATTACTAATCTAGATTGTAATCTAGATAGTGAGGCCGAATAATGCAAAAGGCTTCATCTATTTTCGTACCGTTAATCTGAAATGTTAATCTCATGTAATTTATTGCGCGGTGTTAGAACTTACAAATGTTCAATAAGATATTCGAACCTTGGGCGTCGTGCTTCATAACCAGTTTTGTTCCACGCGGATACGAGAGAAACAGCGACGTACGCGTCCTTACTTACAATTGATGACGTCGGCCATTAATCGACAAGCCTGTTGTCGCCCTGGATCTCCGCTAATAGTGAATGACGGCAGCGTACTACGGTGACCGGGCTTCAAAAACTGCCATTTCATTTTGAGCGCTGCGTGTCTGCTTAAGCATTCTTGCTTTATTTTTTTTTTTAATTTAATATTTAAAACATGTTCACTAAAATTCCCAAGACTTTAACTTTACCAGTTTGTTGATTATCGAGATGAAATATGGCCTGTTCGAAAAAAAGAGTATTTTGTTCTGAGAAGATATCGTTTTCGGAATTTCATTTTTTAACTTGGTTATCGAGAAAATGGAGAAAAAGTGTGAGAAAACTTGAAATTTCCAGTTATCAGCGCGTGTTTTCGCTTCTGCCATGGAAACGAAACATTAATCCGGACTTTTGATGAAACGCACATTACTAGGATGAATGTATAATGTGAGAAATTTAATCCGGGTGGGTCCAGTTGTTCAGACACTACATCTGAAAATACATACTCAACGACTGAGAACAATGGTCTCCTAGAGCGGAGATATAATAAATTGTGTACTCGAAATATCAAAATTATCGCGAGACATAATCTTCATAATTGGGCGACGTAGACGTGCAAGATCGCTATCTGTTTATGTTGCTGATTTTATACGAATGTCAAGTCTAAACAATATGAACGAGATTCCACCCTCAGAAACATGTATAATGAAAGCAAAATTTGTTGGTTTGATTCAGCAAAAAGTTTCAGTTGACTCTGTAAACATTACGACTCTCTTTCGAAATGCTGTTTAAAAACAGTAATTTGCTTTGCGAAGATAAAAAAAAAACCAAGTAACTCCAAAACTTACAATTGGTGTTTACAAGAAACAATGTTTCGCTAAGTCTCGTGAAATATAACGATAATCGGTAACAAGTAGTACCAATGCAATAATCTGATAAAAATAAAACATTCAAACGAGACCACGAGGAGAAATAACATCCAAATAAACACGACGCAGCTATTTTCTCTTATCTTTTATCATAACGGGATGTGGTGAAGAGGTGGGCGTGTATAAGATTGAAGGTCTATAAATAACTGTTGATGTAATAAATGTAATTAAAATATACGTCTGATAACATCACATTTAAAATTTTTCACGATTGAAAAAGGTATAACATGAAACATACTAACACCTTGAGAGAAAAGGGGTAGGGGATATCCACACGATCCTCAAAAGTAAAGATAAGATCTGAAGCCCGATTTAATGAACTCCTAAATAAAATATGAAATTTCGGGTTTGCTTCGGACTCGGGCCTGCGAATCCAGTCATTTAGTCGGGGTCGGGTCGGGTTTAATACGGCCAGGCTGGAAATTTTGGACCCGATCTTACCTATAGTAAAGAGAACCCCCAAACCTACCTGTGGTGGGGGAGGTTATACATCTTAATAGGATCACTTTGAGGAGGCAACGATCTCTATATAATACTGTGCAAGATATAGATTTACAGTGCTTATACATTTTTACCAACCACGACTTATCTTTTGAAATGTATGCATCGCCGTGTACGAAAGATATCGGTTATCCCAAACACGGTAGCAGTGCCAATCTAGAGCAGTGGTTCCCAACCTGGCGGATATGTAGCATGAAAAGAAATTACTTCGCGAACCGGCAACAGAATATTGAAATGAATGAAAGCGAGAATAGTAACTTGCTTTCTACCGATTCCCCTTTTGTTACTTACAGTTTTCAACTCGAAATGAAAATCCTGAAACGAAATTGTAGGAACGTAGGCCGAATCACGAACTTAATGGAAACGTAACTTGACGTTGCGACGTGAGCAATCGATTACTATGGTAAAAAAAAAAACTGGATTGTAGATGAAGGACCGCGGATAAAAATAAATTACAAACAGCCACGTTCAAAGTTCAGCTTGGAATCTTCATTTTCTAAAAAAACAAGCGTAATACAATGCACCGTGCTTAAAGTTTCAAATTCACGGATGTGATGTTTCAATTACGGTTCAACTCAAATTTTTTATCATAAATTAAATCGAAAAATTCAAATGACGTGAAGCAAATTCATTTGCGTAGTAGAGTCAGTGACAACGCAAACTTTGGTTAAAAGAATTAATTCGGAACGCCCCGAGCAAATGTAACAAGTTCTCACTATAGGCACGATATTGTGATTTGAACCTAACGGATAATGCGTGATATAACGGAGAAGCATAACTTACTACTAAGTTTATTTTTATCAGTTTTTATATTGAACTGCAACTACAATATTCAATGGCTAAGTTATTACAATCTACGTTAACGAAGTATGATATTTGTAAAGAATCTTTGTTATAATTTTTGAGAAAACAAGCTTTTTATAAAAAATAAATGAGTTTCTTTGTGTTTCGATAAAATATCACGAGTGTGCCATTCATTCCCCCTTTACACTAGATGTGAATGCTTACCTTTTTACTTCTATCAATTTGTCGGCCATTAATCGACAAGCCTGTTGTCGCCCAGAATCTCCGCTAATAGTGAATAACGGCAGCGTACTACACAACTGACGCAATGACAATTTAATGAACTCCTGAGGAAAATATTAAATTTCGGGTTTGCTTTGGACTAGGGCCTGCAAATCCAGTTAATTAGTCGGGCTCGGGTCGGGTTTATGACGGCCACGGGCCTGGGTCAGGCCGGGCTAGAATTTTTGGGCCCGATCTTACCTCTAATAGAGAGGACCCCCAAACCTACCTGTGGTGGGGGAGGTCATTTTTATGTGGACTCTATGCAAATAATCCTAGTATTTTGACTCATTTTTTTCAAATTAAAACTATTTTTCTGCATAAAATTTAAGGCGTATTTTTCTTTGCTGTTTTTCACAAGTTTTCTTTGCGACTTTTCGAGATACTTTGTATCAATAAATAACGATTTTACCATTGTGAGATTATAATTATCCACAATTATGATTTCTGAAACATTCAAATGCGCCTACTTCTAGTGTTTGCATACCAGCTGTATATATTTCGCCGAACTTTGACAACCTTTGGAAAGTAGAAATATAGGTCTAGATTTTAGACTAGATGGTCTGATTCGTTTAAAATTAAAGATTGTTGCAATAACGTAATAAATCCCATATTTCCAGAAATTCGCTAGCAATCTGCGAACAATTAATTACTAATCTAGATAGTAATCTAGATTGTAATCTAGATAGTGAGGCCGAATAATGCAAAAGTCTTCATCTATTTTCGTACCGTTAATCTGAAATGTTAATCTCATGTAATTTATTGCGCGGTGTTAAAACTTACAAATGTAAATAAGATATTCGAACCTTGGGCGTCGTGCTTCATAACCAGTTTTGTTCCACGCGGATACGAGAGAAACAGCGACGTACGCTTTCTTACTTACAATTGATGACGTCGGCCATTCATCGACAAGCCTGTTGTCGCCCAGGATCTCCGCTAATAGTGAATGACGGCAGCGTACGACGGTGACCGGGCTTCGAAAACTGCCATTTCATTTTGAGCGCTGCGTGTCTGCTTAAGCATTCTTGCTTTAGTTTTTTTTTTATCTAATATTTAAAACATGTTCACTAAAATTCCCAAGACTTTAACTTTACCAGTTTGTTGATTATCGAGATGAAATATGGCCTGTTCGAAAAAAAGAGTATTTTCTTCTGAGAAGGTATCGTTTTCGGAATTTCATTTTTTAACTTGGTTATCGAGAAAATGGAGAAAAAGGGAATTAAAACCCCCGAAATGACAGACCTTTGACTTTTTTATTATGCAGAATTGAACTATCCATGTTTAAATTTTCGAGGTAAAATAAAATACTTAACCAAAATCTACTTTTATTTCAGATAAGAAACCACCAAAGATTTCAAAACTCGTTCTAATTGCACTTCTAATGGGTTTAACAAGTCGTCCCAAACAAGCTGTACAAAAACCACCAATTGTACAAGTAGGACCGTATGCACAAGCAGCACCACATGTACCATATGTACAAGCAGCACCACATGTACCATATGTACAAGCAGCACCACATGTACAAGCAGCACCACATGTACCATATGTACAAGTAGCACCAGCACCCGTACCAGTGATACAAGTAGCACCAGCACCCGTGTCAATTACTCCATCATTTACAGGTACTAGAGACAAAAATACCATAGGCCTACTTTTTATTTGGTGATTTTTTTGTGTGTTTTATTATAGTCCCCTTTCTGTTATAATCAGGGCTGTGTTTGATAAGTTTCAACAAGAAAAAGTATTAGTTTATAAAAGCATTTAAGTTTCAATTGTTGCCCTACTCACCAACTTGATGATTGAGATACACAATCCCGACCACAATAAGTAGGAATTCGACTAACTGTGCACGCGCGCATTGCCCACAGTTTCTCACAAAAATAAACTTACAAAATGGTGAAAAAAGAACACGTTTTATCGAGATTAATTTCACTAATCTACAACAATCATGAAACGCTCTTGATAAACAATTGAAGAAATGGCTAATCCCAGTTTAGGCTGTGGAGTGTGCAGTCGTAGTTTATTGTTTTATCAATTTCGTATATGGAAAAATAAACTTAAGTATGACTATATCTTATTCTAGAAAGTCGCAAATACACGGGATTCTTAATTCTCCAGATTCTGAATTGAAACATAATAAGTGATAAAATTAATCAGATCTTTTCAAATGCACTCAAAATGCTTTAATAAGCGTTGTTAACATTTTATTAAGGAAGGCTTGCGTTCGCCAACATTTTAGTAGTTGAAATTTAGTTTCTCGGTGTTCAGAGCTGGTGTCAAAATTTTTCAGCCCGATGGTACTTTTGTAGTAGGCGACCAAAATGGCGGATCCCGGAACGTAGTATATATATGTACCAAGTTCGGGTTAGGTCATAATTTTATTCTAATTTTCCTTATTTTAGTTCTATCAGGAGATTGGGGACTAGCCAAATGACTCCCGTAGTATTTGTACCTGAACTTATGGCATAACCTTAACCTGGTTTCACATACTACGTTCCGGTGTCCGCCATCTTGGTTCACATACTACGAGAGTACCAATAAATCAGATCTTTTCAACTACACTCAAAATGCGTTAACTTTACTAAGCGTTTTTAACATTTTATTAAAGAAGGCTTGCGTTCGCCAACATTTTTGTTATTGAAATTTGATTTCTCGGTGTTCAGAGCTGGTGTCGAAATATTCCAGCCCGATGATCAATTCCGCGGAACACCGGTTGAAAATGGCTGGTCTGGAAAGATAATAGCATACTACAAAAGTCACATACAAGCACATATCTTCCAAGTATTGGAAGTTTGATTAAAAAAAAAGAAAAAAAAAAAGATTTTATTCGGAAATTATATCGGGTATTCGAATATGCCCGACCCAACTTCTGACCCCACAGATGAAAGAAGTGGGAATAATATGTCTGTCACTTTGCTGTGCCTGGGATCAGAGTTGAGAAATGGGAGAAATTGGGTACTTTTGTAGTATGCGAACCAAGATGGCGGTCACCGGAACGTAGTATATGTACCAGGTTAGGGATCGGTCATGATTCTATTCCAATTTTTCTTATTTTAGTTCTATTACAAGTTCGGAGACTAACCAAGTGACTCCCGCAGTATTTGTGCCTAAAATTATGGTCTAACCCTAAACTGGTACACTACGTTCCATGTCCGCCTACTAGGGTTGGCTATATTCAAATACCCGATATAATTTCCGAATCGAATCTAATATGTTTTTTTATTTAAACTTCGAATACTTGGAAGATATGTGCTTGTATGTGACTTTTGTATTTGTAATATTATCTCTCTAGACTCTCCAGTGTTCCGTGGAATACAGGTGTTCGTGTCAATTTTTTTCTCGAATATTTTATGAAAATTGAAAAAATGAAAAGCTAATGAAAACATATCCAAAATTTAACCAGTCTCATACGGATTCTCAATAATGGTCTGAGAATTGACTCGTTGTCGTAATATCAGGCATCATTGGTTAGTTTTCCTCGATCAAGATAGCCGCGATTCGTAATTTCTATTCAGTTTGAAATGCCCAGCCCTAGTCAGAAGTAGTTTTAGTACGATTCGACCAGTAGTATCTTTGAGTAGGAAACAAAGATAACATTTTCAAAAATGTTTCTTTCTCTCTGTAATATTACTGGTAAGCAAAGCATTTTCTTCACGAGACCTATTATTATATTATTTTTTCGTTTGATATATTTTAGGTGCAGCATGTGGTCATGGTGAGGCTCTAATTCATGGATGTCCAGATGTATGTCAAGGTGCTCGCTGCGTGAATTATGGGTCTGCAACTTGTAGAGTTCACTCTTGCAATGGGTGCACTGCAAGGTGGTACAACCACCAGGGACATGATGTCACAGCATACTGTGTTCAAGTCGTGGGATAAGGATTGATAGAAACATAAATGCTAACGGTGAAAACTGCTACGGAATTATGATCTCAAATTAATTGAAGAAGCAACTAAATGTAAACTTTGACACTCAAAGATAATTCACAAGAAAGCACTGAAAGTATGAAAAGTTCAACATTTTGATTTAAAAAACTTGGAAATTGAAAAAAACAACAAGCTATCATTTCAGTGAAAACGTTCAGTATCTGCAACAGCCGTGGTTGTTTATTAATATTGTAATGTAATCGATAAAAGATTTAGTGAGTCATATATTGTATATTTGGACCTACTGAAGTATGCGTACCAAGATGACGCACAACCTGAACTCAGGTTGTGTACCGGGTCGAGGTTCAGGTTGTGCAACATCTTGGTGCGCATACTTCAGGAGTATCGTACATTTTAATAAATGCATTGTTTGGTGAAGCATTCGTTGTCACAGGAGTTGCTTTTGGGTAGTTTTATTGCGCATCTGTTCTTGAATAAAAGTCGCAGCATGCTTTGACAATCTTATCATAAGGCAGAGTAGAACACAGCAGCGGACCGAGCTTTACCTGCTGCCCAGTTTAGGAAAAAAAATTCATATTTATACTGGGGATTAAAATTCATAAGACGACTTGATCACAATAATCAGGTGACACACCACGACTTCGTAGTCCCAAATCCTACCATACAAAAGTCCCGTTTGAGAAATATATTGGGTACTCCAGAGTTCGGGGACTAGCCAAGTGACCCACCGGTAGATGACGTACTACGCGTCTCACGGACCGCTTGACTTAAAACAGTGGTTTACAATAGTTTCGTTAAATCCCCCCTTCGCCTATTTGGCAATGTAAGCGTGGTATAATACTACGCAAATAATGAGTCAGTTTCTTCTTAGGGTATTTCACTGAGCAAAAAATAGTACGTGTGCCCCATGAACGTAGCATTATGATAAAATACTGGCACTGCACTCCACCCACCACTGGACTTATAATAGTGAAGGTCCATTGGTGTGTTGAGATACTATAGCCATCGCTATATATTGATTGATAGGTCTGATTGGGCCTGGGCCTTGTTCTGAGCGGAAACTTACAACTGTGTGGTACTTTACTTCAGCCATCAATGGGCGTAAAATAATAAATTATTATGAGTGTATTATTTATTCTGGAACTTCCAAATGTTCTTAACGAAGTTCGGGGGTTGCAAAACGTATATCTATTTCACTCAGAGAACTATATCTATTGTACTTTTTCGGGGCTTTTGATTCGAAACACAATTTATAAAACTAGTGAAAACTAGAAATCTTGCTATTTCGAGAGAATACATAGGGTCAGGGAAACGGCGCGCTTGCATAACAGTGCCGTTTTAATAGGGGTCGCGCAAAATTTAAATATGTTAGAAGGGGTATCGGGGTCAAAAAATATTTGGGAAGCTCCTATTTATTCTACACACATTGCTATATTTAAATTAATATGCCCAAAACTTCTTTGGTTAGTGCTCTGCTCTGAGGAAGAACGTAGACTATGAAAAAAAAACTGTACACGTCGAATTAAAAATATACGCATGCATGATCTTATCACTCTATATCCAGCGATAGGTGAACTGCACAAACTACAACTTTAATACTGAGGCCTTCGTGAACGTTCATCAATAATATTTGTTTTCTTGATCGCGATTCCTATTTATTTAAGCTCTGCGTAATAATATCAATCTCCAGAGCAAGTGAATTTTATTACTTCGTCCCCATTACTCTATCTATCGAATTGATATTTATTGGGCGTGTGTGGCTTTTTGTACGCGGTCACCGCCTCACCGACAGGAAGAACGTCCCTTTGCCTAGCAAGCTCTATAATACTTTTCTTAAATGATATATTCGGAAAAGACAATTGTAAATATTTCTAGGTCCCCCCACTAGAAAAGAGATCTTTTGTACAAATGCCCCGCCACTAATGCAAAATGTGAGATTTGAGAATAACATCCCCACCACGTTTAAAAATACTAATGGCTAGATGGGTATTTGCTAAGAGTTAGGACTGATTAGAAAATTTGAGTTTCTATCACAATCTGGATAACTAACCCTACAATTACATGGATAATTACTAAAGTTCTTATATTGAGCGTTGGTGAGGGCTTTGTACAAAAGATCCTATCATGCTAATCGGCTATTTAATGAAGGGTAAAATGACAGCATTGTTACTATCCTGCTAGAGCGTTATCATTCTGACAAACCACGCTTCAACAATTCTTAAACATAGACAAACAAGTAAACAAATCCCTTAAGAATAAGATAATGTTAACTGAATTTCGCCAAGGGACTAAAAATTACGATAGAAACACTTTCCTGACTCTATCTCGTGTAGTACAACGATAGCGAAATACCTGTGATTTTCAAAAATGCGCGCTGAAAATATTAACTTTACCGCTGCCAGATTTTTGTCTGAATAAATATTAAAAACTTATAAATTAGTGTAACCATATATTTCTTAAGATGATCCGGAATATCACAAAAAAAAATTTGCGGAATTAGAGAGCCAATATTACTTACATAGCATGGTGGGAGAGAATACGCATCATAAACTCCGCAGTCCAGACAGGTTGTTTCGTTAATTTATTGTGATTGGTGGTCTTGTTTGTATAGTACTAGCCTGAGGTAAATCTCATGCTACAGTAATATATTAAAATATATCTCACGCTATGATGAGATAGACCTCACGATATAGTACCAGCTTGAGATACATCTCACAATATAGTGTGGTAGACCCCACGCTTGAAGATTGAAGATCTCACCCTAGAAAAATATTTATCTGATTTGTAAAGTCACATTCGAAACGTCGAAAACAGATTTCACTCCAGGTACCACGCGACTTTACTAGAACAAAATGTCTGAATGCAGGTACACTTGTGTTTGAGGAACCCATCTTGGTTTCAATGACTATTTGTACGGTTGAGGTTCGTTACTGATTGTTACTATTCAGAATCAACAAATTAGCATCTATAAATTATTTTTCCAACAAAAAAACCTGCTTTATATTTGAAGCTTTAACGATATTTTCAGTTCAAACAGCATTCCCTTTATTATTGATAAAAGCAAAAAGCCTTCGGCACCCGGTAATTCGCAGCCGGTCACCCATGCAAGTACGAACAAGACGTTTTCCGATATCGGTGTATTTAACGTGGCATTGTCGTAGGCGATATCGACGAGACCTATTCGGTTATTTCGATTTAATTTTCGCTTGATACGAGAGAGAAATGAAGCAGAACTTAATCGAATGTGGCATCAGCGATCAATTTTTAAATTAATCACAAATTTTAAATTAAAATACTGAAGACAATTTTTTTTCATTGCATCGTCCCGAGGGCAAATCTATTTGCCATGATTCGATTTAAATTAGCGTTCAGGTTTTTCCTAAAGTCAGTGAGATGAGAGCAGCTTCACCAAACTCTGCCAAGATGGATAAATATTTTTGCATTGCAATCTTATTCTCGTTTACTGTTGCTATCAATGGGGAATTATTAACTGGCTCGGGTTAGTGCTGACTTCTGTTTTGCTCAAAGTTTGTGGACGTAGTTTTTATGTTGATAGTTTTCTTTCGTTTAGACTTTAGAGCAGGGGTTCTCAACTTGGGGTTCGCAAACCCCCAGTGGTTCACTAGAAGATTTCCAGGGGTACTTGGATGACAGTCGAGTTATTGAATGTTGCTGTTTTTTAATTTCCTTTATCACTACCAGAGGAAAATGCGTGCCCATTGAAACTAGACGCCAGTTGAAACGTAGATTTTCCCTGATCTTGCGTTGTTGTGATTGTGACGCAGAAAATGTGGAATTCAAGGCTTTGCGTACAAACTGTGAAATTTCTAAAAACAGCGTGCTACGAGCATTGGAGAAGTGATTATGCTTATTGAAACTTGGGAGAGATTTTGAGAATTCATTAGTTAGACAGACGATAAAGGCAGTAATATCAACAAGACGATTTAATTTAGTTATATATGGTCAATAAATTAGTGTTGCAACAAATTATTAGTCAATATATCACAATTTTGTTTAGGTGTCTGATTACCGGGGGTTCGAATTAATTGCTTCGTGACTCGGGGGGTACTTGACATAAAAAAGCTTGAGAACCCCTGCTTTAGAGCGTCGGAGAATTCCGCTTGACTGACAATGTTTAAGGTTGCTTTTTAATCTAATAGTTGTTTTAGTTTTCGCCACAATTATTACAGACACTATACAAACTGTAATTGCGAATTAAACTGAAATTAGATTTTAAGAGTGAAAAGAGGCGCAAAATGAACATTAATGAATTCCCCTCGATATATTCTAAATATATGGATAATTTAGAAATATTATTTTCTGTTTCAATAAAAGAGGCGACTTCCGGAAGCTATATGTTTGGTCACTCAGGTCTATGCGAGCCGAATTTTCGACTTTCAACCTTTCGATTTGTTTGGAGAACCACCGGCCGTCTGTCACTTTCATGTCAGATTAAGCCAGGACTGGGCACAGTTTTACAAAAGCAAAAGTGGAAAACAATAAGCCTTGTGCCCAAACTATATTTGCGCGCAATGTTAACAAATTCCTTGAGCTATCTTTTAGTAGCTAAAACACCAAAATTTGGTTTTAGTTCCGTTATGGCAGCATCTGGCGGGCCAGATCGAATTACCCAACGGGCCGGATTTCGCCCACAGGGTGTAGTTTGCGCATGTCAGGGTTAAGCTCTCGAAAAAATATTGGGAATCTTTAAAAAAAGAATTCCACAACAACGCGTAATTCTATCCCAATAACAATGTACTGGCCATCATTGCACAGGACAATTATCGTTGGAACGATTTTCTTCATTCGAATGAAATGGCTGTATTTCTATGTTCAGGAGATTCATGCACCACGGGATGCTTGGACACAAAAGAAGTTTGCTATGGAACGGATGCGAACTTATGTTTTTGTCCAGCTGGATTTAAAGGTGACAACTGCGATGAACGTAAGTTAGATTGAATAATGTTATAGTCGATATACGCAGTAGTGGGATTCAGCCGGTTTGTGTGATGGAACCGGCTGACAAAAAATTTGAATCCCACCACTGGATATATATATATAGGTATCGTAGGTTATAAAACTTTAGAAGTATAAACAATCACGACATCCTGAAAAGGGAGGAATTGCTCTGTGAAGTTACAGTTTAGAACAATTATGCTTTGCAGTTTGGAAGCGTGTTTTGCAATTTCGTTTTAATGATGGAAATCGCCGGAAATAAACTTGAAAAATAACAATTGTCGTCTAAAATTTTTCTTCGTACATTTTGTAAATAATTTCCCAATAAAGTCAATGATCTCATCTACTAGTCCAAAATAACCGGGATAATATTTTCCAAACGACTTAATAATTTCATGAACTTTCACAATTTTGAATTTCACAATTTTACTATTAAATGGAAATTTTAGTAAAACTGCAATTCTATAAACGTTTTGATGGTGCTATGAGCAAGCCTTAAATAGGAACTTTAAATTAGATAAATTACCGCCTCACAAAGTATAATAAGCCGTGATTGAAATCGTATAAATATGGTATTCGAAATATTATTAAATCTTGATTTTTTTTCCAACTTTCAGCCAACATCGATTTCATTGACGAAATGTGTCCGTTACCAGACCAGATACCGAAATCTTGCGATGCAGCCATTGACCAATGTGGAACTTGTGATTCGGGCACGAAATGCTGCTCAGATGGATGCTTTTTATCCTGCCAACCTACTCTTCCAAGTAAGCATTGTCTTTGTCAATCTATTATCGCCTTAACATAGTGTCAGTCATTAGTTTTACACAAAGTTATGCTTGTGCACGCAGAATGAGAAAATATATCAGTTCTTTGTACCGAATTGCTATTGCACCGCTTATTACTATTTGCGAGGGTAGGGATTTGTTCAAAGAAAATTATTTAAAACAATTGTTTTAAATCAAGCTTTTTGTTTTGCCTGTTTTGTCTAAAATGGCTGTATTATTTGATTCTTTTTGTATTAAATAGGTTAAAGAAATATGGATGTAAAAACTTGCCATGTGCTTATTATTTTTCAATAAATCCTTCGAGACGCCACAAATATTGATGACTTGCTCTCTCCCCCCCCCCCCCCCCCCCCTCATGCTGTAGTTTAATGAGTCCGCAAATGTAGTTGGTATAAGGCATAAGCCATTACGTGAACCACTATACACCGAAACCACATGGCGAAAATTGAAATACGGTCGAATAAATGAGTTTGTTTAACTTGGAAGTACTCTATCCCTTTGACCTCAAAAACAAACTTTGCTAATTTAAATTAACCGAACAGTTTTAAACGTAATAATCCCTATTTTTTATAAAAAAAAATGTCAATACATAAACTCGAAAACAAGTCTTTGTTTGAAATTGATTCAAAACAAACCATATATATACCCTATGCGAAAAGGAGTCACATAGAATCCACTGGGGGGACTTGGGCGATAAGTTCGACAAACTCCGCCGAGACGCTTGACCAGGCAAATACCATCTATACTAAGGTATACCGCATATACAGTCGCCATCCCCAACCTAAATCGGTGATCAAATGAATGCCGTGGTTCAACATTTGGTCGAGTCCTCTAATTGGCTTTCCTATTTGGGATCAAATAAAGAGATATAAATGGATTTGAGTGCAGTAATAGCTTCCTATACATATATATAAATGAGCGCTACTCCACGACTTTAATTGAAGATAAAAACATCTTATTATAATATAATTAATTGCACCCTGTAAACATTGCGACTCTCTTTCGAAATGCTGTTTAAACACAGTATTTTGTTTTGCGAAGATAAAAAAAAATACCAAGTGACTCCAAGAATTACAATTGGTGTTTACAAGAAATAATGTTTTGCTAAGTCTCGTGAAATATAACGATGATCGGTAACAAGTAGTACCAATGCAATAATCTGATAAAAATAAAACATTCAAACGAGACCACGAGAGAGAAATAACATCCAAATAAACACGACGCAGCTATTTTCTCTTATCTTTTATCATAACGGGATGTGGTGAAGGTGAACGTGTATAAGATTGGATAAATACCTGTTGATGTTCAATGTAATTAAAAATCACGTCTGTTAACATCACATTTAAAAATTTTCATGGCCTAGACTAGAGTAAGACTGAATAACGCAAATATCCACAACAATGTGTCGTCTTCATCTATTTTCGTACCGTTAATCTGAAATGTTAATCTCATGTAATTTATTGCGCGGGGTTAGAACTTACAAATGTAAAATAAGATATTCGAACTTTGGGTGTCGCTGCTTCATAACCAGTTTTGTTCCACGCGGATACGAGAGAAATAGCGACGCACGCGTTTTTACAATTGATGACGTCGGCCATTAATCGACAAGCCTGTTGTCGCCCAGAATCTCCGCTAATAGTGAATAACGGCAGCGTACTACACAACTGACGCAATGACAATTTAATGAACTCCTGAAGAAAAAATTAAATTTCGGGTTTGATTCGGACTAGGGCCTGCAAATCTAGTTAATTAGTCGGGCCCTGGTCGGGTTTAATACCCACAGGCTCGGGTCAGGCCGGGTTAGAATTTTTGTGCCCGAGTTTACTTCTAATAGAGAGGACCCCCAAACCTACCTGTGGTGGAGGAGGTCATACATCTTAATATAATCACTTTGAGGAGGGCAACGATCTCTATATAATACCGTGCAAGATGTAGATTTACAGTGCTTATACATTTTTACCCACCGCGCCTTATTTATTGAAATGTATGCATCGCCAGGTACGAAAGATATCGGTTATTCCAAACATGGTAGCAGTGGTTCCCAACCTGGCGGACATGTAGCATGAAAAAAAATAACCTCGCGGACCGACAACAGAATACTGAAATGAATGAAACCTAAAATAGTAACTTGCTTTCTACCGAATCCCCTTTGGTTTCTTACAATTTTAAACTCGAAATGAAAACGTAGGCCGAATCACGAACATAATGGAAACGTAACTTGACGTTGCGACGTAAGCAATCGATTACTATGGTAAAAAAAATGGATTGTAGATGATGGACCACGGATAAAAATAAATTACAAACAGCCACGTTTACAGTTCAGCTTGAAATCTTCATTTTCTAAAAAACATGCGTATTACAATACACCGTAAATAAAGTTTCAAATTCACGGATGTGATGTTTCAATCACGGTTCAACTCAAATTTTTTATCATAAACTAAATCGAAAAATTCAAATGACGTGAAGCAAATTCATTTGCTTGGTAGAGTCAGTGAAAACGCAAACTTTGGTTAAAAGAATTAATTCGGAACGCCCCGAGCAAATGTAACAAGTTCTCACTATAGGCACTAGGCTTGCACGTAATTGACAAAAATCAATTCCGTAATTACGGCAAAATCGATTACGTAATGACCCCGTAATTGCGATATTTTTTCACACATTTAAACCTATCATAACAACCAATTGAATCCACTTCATTTTCGATTGGGACATCGAGTTTGGGTTTTCATATTCCTGGCAGTACTACACGCCGGCGACAGATGTTAAGACAAGAGTGAATTCAAATTAATTTTATTCTGATTTTTATCTTTTGTGCTAGCTTTGATTTCCTTTATCACCTTCGCAAATTAACCGTCCCAATTTTATGCGATCAATTTTATCATTACCGACACTGGTATACGGATATTTGTGAAACGATAGTTGACTTTTTTAAAATCGTATTAAAAATAAATGTCGGGTTTCCAATTTATCAATGCCACGACGAGAGTATTCTCTCGTTTGATTATACTTGCGCTTGCCTCGCGACGAAGACTTGTTATTGCACCGTTTTTAACATTATTCGACTTTACTACCTAGTCAGCATTTTATAATAATCATTGATGCCGACTTATTGACGTTATTCCGATTACCAATTCCGAAAATTCCAATTCCGAAAATGGTTCTCGCACAGAATAAACACACTGGCTCATACTTGATATTTGATAGTAGTTAAATTGAGAATATTGAACTGTTGAAACAAAAAAACGATTGTCGAAATTCTTAAATCTCGTTGCCTTGGTTAAATATAATCCAATGATCAGGACATTTTCAATTAAATACTTCACAAAGATAGTTATACATTAAACATTTAGGCTACAATTTAGCTTTTTTTTTTTTTAAATTTTAATCATGCATTGTGGTGGAGAAATCCCACTATTTAAATACGGGTAACTATAAAAATAGAATAGGATTCTGGATTCGATTCAAGTATTCTAAAACAGTGCTTCCCAACCGCCGGTCCGCGGACCGTCAACGGTCCGCAAAGGATTTTTATCGGATCGTGGGAAATCCCGTCATATTGTTGTTTCTCTGCCGTCTCAATCGCTTTACCGATGCCGAAAAGACGAAGTTGCGTTGGTTCATTACGCAATTTCTTTCCCGTCGTCATATTGCTGTTTGATACGCGCGACATTAATTATGACGGTGACGTATTGGCAAGAGAGAGAAAAGTGAGAAAAACGGCTGCAAATACCGAAGCTCTAACTTCTTCTACTTTTTAAACTTTCACTTTTTACAATTGACGGAATTGACTGCTTTGAAGAGAGCTGGTTTCAATCGTGAAAGTGCTCGACCAATATTTACGACTTTACGTAATTCGTAACTTCCCTTCCGTAACTCGAAATAATTCCGTAAATCTGTAAATTACGTGCAAGCCTAATAGGCACGATATTGTGATTTAAACATAACGGATAATGCGTGATGTAACGGAGAAGCATAACTTACTACTAAGTTTATTTTTATCAGTTTTTATATTGAACTGCAACTACAATATTCAATGGCTAAGGTATTACAATCTACGTTAACGAAGTATGATATTTGTAGAGAATCTTTGTTATAATTTTTGAGAAAACAAGCTTTTTATAAAAAATAAATGAGTTTCTTTGTGTTTCGATAAAATATCACGAGTGTGCCATTCATTCCCCCTTTACACTAGAGGTGAATGCTTACCTTTTTACTTCTTTTGAGATTGATTTACACTGGTTGGGAAAAATAATTTGATTGGCGTGAATTTACATCACACCAAATATGAGAGTGTTCAGGTCGGAAAATAAAGGTTTAATATTCGAATCTTTGGTAGAAAGCCTCGGCCACTAATGCAGAAATGTGAGATTTGAGAAACATCCCGCAACCTTTTTTAAGTACTGTAGACCAGTGGTTCCCAAACTTTTTTGACCATCGCCCCCCTACACTAGTTTATACAACTTCATCGTCCCCCCGGCACTACAAAAAAAATGTAAAGTCAAAAACGAATATAATACAGACTAAATAAGGAGACAAATCATAGTTTATGGTGTTTTTTAATGAGATGGATGAGCTTGGTGTTCTCCAGCGAGTTTTTTTTATTATATCTGAAATTACCCAGTTTACTGATGGAAAGGCGATTTCGTTGTTTTGATAGCAATAGAAGCATGACTCAAAAAATCCTTTTCTTCATAATAATAGGTCGGAAATGAACGATTCCAGGGTTCTACCTCCTCCAAAACCGCTGTGTACTCTTGCCTTATAGCATTTAACTCCCTAAATTCACCCCATTTCACATTAAAATAATGAAAACAAAGTTAATTTTCCCAAAGTTATAATAATGATTTCGTACATCTCATCATTCCTACAGCCTGATGACCTGCACTAATATACTTCGGTAAAATTCTTTCTCGATTCCTCACCCTACCACGGCCTCCAGTCCATAGAATTATTCAGCTGTTTGATTTTGGATTCATGGA